GATTTTTTGCGGAGAGGAGGGCACCACCCTGTGCAGCGGGGAGGGGCTGCACAGATAATATACGCCAATCAAAACCAATCTCCATGCATGCAAGGACAGTTTTTCAGAATCACTTGGGTGGTTGATTGTATATATGGTTGGTGTGATGTTGATTCCAAGTTGCAGGTGTATTTAGTGTCGTTAAGTATAAGGAGAGAGGGTTTACGTGCTTCCAGCGCTATCAGCCGGATTGATATACGGTTTGCGGGTTGGATTGAAAAGACCATCCACTATATAGTGTTCCTTGCGTAAAGGTTGTACAATGTATACGGTCCACCAAAGGTTGATTTCAACAAGCAGTATTTACCGGATTTGGTCAGATGTGCACATACAACCTTTCAACACCTATCCGAACAGGACGAAACCTGTAAATAGACTATATACACAGTTTTTACATTGTCCATGCGCATTGTGGGCATGTCATGTCGCATGAACATTCTGTTCTTTGCATGCGCCCTGCCGACTTGAACGTCCAGGGTTGCACATGACGATCAATGACCTCACTAAACAGTTTCTCCATCTACATCGAACGTCGACGTTGACGGTCGTCGCAAGTCAAAATGCTGTGCACTCTCAATATATCGTTCTGGGTGCGTATACAAAAAGCTTGATCCTGTGCGTGCATGAAAGCAGGTTCACCACCGGCCGCTGCCGTTGTACTGAGATATAATTTCCCAACCCTGCAAACAGTGTTGCTGCATGCGTGCATGAAGGCACATGGATTGCATGGACATCTTCATGACACGTTCATTCAAGTTTTGCTTTCTGTGCGCCAACCATGGTGACCAGTGCTGAATTGCAGTGTGGAATCCGCCGGGTGCACAGCATGTTGCATGCGATGGCCACGTTCTTGGATGTCTTGGCTCACCTTGAAGCTTTGGGCAGGCTTCAGCCGGATGTTCGCCTCGAACTGGCGCTGTTGGGCTTGGCGTCCAATCTGGTGTCAGGTGATGTGACATCATTGGGAGGTGCACGACCTGCAGGAGAGGGTGGACCAGGAGTGGAGGAGGAGGATCGTCGTGGAGAAGGTGGAACAGGAGTGGAGGAGGATCGTCGTGGAGAAGGTGGACCGGAGGAGGTCCGTCGTGATCGCCCACACTGGCATAACATGCAGTCAGACGAGGATCGATTGATCTTTTCCCGCTTTGTGGATGTTGCGCAGGAAGCAACACGATCCTTGCAGGTCCCAGGCACACCACCAGGACGATTGCCTCGTCCAGCAGTCCCGGGCACACCACCAGGACGATTGCCTCGTCCAGCAGTCCCAGGCACACCACCAGGACGATGGACAAGATCTCGATCTCCGAGACGCTCTGCAGAGCGTTGAGATGCTGCTGGCCTTGCTTGCAGGTTTGGTGCGATCCGGAGTTCAGACTCCATCACGGATCCCAAGGTTTTTGGATAAAAATGGCCGTTGCATTCAGTTGACAGTCATGCATGCATGAGTCATGAACATTATAATGAGGTGAATGCAATCCTTCATTTATTTCTCGCATGCTCACTCTTGCACATGTTTTCACACGTGTTCACAAAACTGCGCGCCTGCGATGAATCATGAACCTGTATGATCGTTTGTCATATTGAGCCAGGGTGAAACCTGTATGTGGTCATGAGCCCTGTCACTTCAAGGCAATGATCAATGCGTGGAACTTCACGTCCATGTGCATGGTTATATGAAATGAAGCACTCTCAATTTTCATCAAACGGCTTTCGAAGCACTCTCAATCTCAAAGCCGTTCTCATTTGATATCATTTGATACGTGAGAAGGGTTTGCAGGTTGACATGCATTTAACCCACTGGTTTTGCCTTTGCATCATGAGCAGCAACATTGTGAAGAAGCAGGTCTAGGAAGGGGTGGCTCTTTTGACGAGGGAGGCCTGCACCGAGACTGATTACAGTAGATGTGGTGCATTCAGATTCGTTGAGGGCACATCCACGCACACTTTGCATGCATTGGTTTCAACTTGCAACTTGCAGTTCATGTTTGTTTCCGCACGCCATGTGCAGGGCATTGCTCGCACTATACCTGGCAGTGCATGTATTATTTTCAAGTTGAGTCCGGTGATTTTTGCTAGGTCATGCATGGAGCCTTTGCAGCCCGGAGCCCATGGCCAACTTCGTTCGTAGACGATCGAGAATGATCCATGACCCGTGACCCTATATCAAAAAAGAGTGAGCAACCCACCCTCTTGTTCAAGCTATATATATTTATATGGACTTGCGCCACGAAAAAACCAAGTATATTACTGTTGATCTGCATTTGAGCCAAATGAAACAACATGGAGGAGTCTTGTGGGTTCAGGTTGTTTTCCATGAACTGTTTTTCCATGAACTCTCAACTCGACGAGTTTTGTTCAAGCACTCAAACAAACAGTCAAGCTTGTTGTGCAAAGTCGATCCTATTCAGGCAGTCGAAACTTCCAGAGGGTTTGAGTGCGTTGGAGAAGAATCCACATCCCTGCACAAGGAAGGCCATGACAGCAAGGATCGTACATCCATATTGTGACATGTTCAAACTAGTACTCGTGAAAGCAAGGATTGCTGCTTGAAGGTATAGTCCCATGCAAGTGAGCCTGCAGGTCCATATGGGGCAATGAGTTCACACGCCAGTTTCATGCAGGGCTTTGCTCGCGTGAGGCAGTGTTTGGCTTCGACTGAGGTTGAGACCAAGCATGCTGGCTGCGCACTGCAGCACGGTCGGGGCTGCTCAGTTGTTGACATCGTAGTGAGTGTGTTGTTCTCATGGGATTGTGCTGTCGTGACATGGCATGACATGGGATTGCGTGACATGGCGTGACGTGGGATTGCGTGACGGCGTTGTTGCGCCAGCTGTTCGGCGCGCTGGCCGCCATGCCACGTGATGAGCGCAGTGCTATACTCTCGCTCCTGCAGATGCACCTGCGCTCATTGGCAGACAGAGAGGACCGCGTCCTTTGGCAGCGGCTGTGTGCACTGGAGGTGGCAACCTTCGGGTACACAGATGGTGTGCCTGGAGACGATGAAGGCCATGAAGGCCATCAAGCTGATGAAGCCGATGGAGGTGACCGCAGAGGCCTTGGGGGCCATGAAGTCCATGAGAGCCATGAAGGCCATGAGGGCCATGAAGGCCATGAGGGCCATGAAGGCCATGAGGGTCATGAAGGCCATGAGGGCCATGAAGGCCAAGAGGGGCATGAAGGCCATGAGGGCCATGAAGGCCATGAGGGCCATGAAGGCCATGAGGGCCATGAGGGCCACGAAGGCCATGGAGGGGGAGAAGGTCATGAATCTGAAGACTATGTCGAGGTGGAGTGTGAAGAGTATGGACTTGTAGATCCGTGGACTCTCATCCAGCGCCGAAGGCTGCGTTGATCACTGCGTTGATCCTAGAGGGGTGGATTTTTGAAAAAGGTGTGAGTGAAGGGTTGGCTGCAAGGGATGGCAGGACATCTGTCCGCCACGTGCAGGGCATTATAGCTCGCATAGCGTCATTATCACCATGTTTGAACTATTGTGTGTCATTGCGCGTTCATTCATTGTGTTTTCATGAGCATTGCGTGATTGCATGTCATGAGCACTTCATGAGTTCATCCGCTTTTGCGAGTTCATGAGCATTGCATTGCATGATTCAGTTTCATGACCGCCAAGGCTGGGACGTTGCCTACATCAACCCAAAGGAGTTGGGAGAAGGGTTTGGGAGGGTTGATGTTGGTATGCATTTATAATGTATATATATCCTATATGCACCACTGTTTTCAGCTTCACCATGGAAGGGTTTTAACGTTCCATTCAATCCCATGAGAAGTTGAGTCGAGAGGGTGGTGAGGTTGGTAGTGCGGAGGCTTTGTTGATTGTATTGCAAGTTAACTCCATGGGGAGTTGTTGGCCTGGCAAGTGTGTTTTGGGTTGGGATTAGATTGTATGCGTGGGTCTCGGCCTCAGCCTTCCGCGGGAATGCGCTGCGTGCAGGAAACCTGTTCGCTACGCCCTCATGGCAGGGCACGCTCGCCAATGCGCAGGGCATGCTCGCGCAAAGGCTATTCGATGTGTTGTTGTAGTCAGCTTGAAATGAACCGACGCAATAATAGTCTTCAGCAATGATGGTGGATGCTTGATGATACAAAGGTATAGTTGGCTCATGATACGAGTGAAGCAGTCATTGATAGTCATGGTAGAGTTGGCTCACGATACGAATTGGATTCATGGTAGAAGCTCAGGAGTCATGGATAATTATTGTACACTTGGCTCATGATGCATTGTTCGAGTGCCCTCGCCTTTGCAGTGGTGTGGAGCGTTGTCAGCCTTGTGGTGTGGAGCGGGGTGGCCTTCAAACAACCTTGCATTCAGTCAATCCATGACATGTTCTTGACCCAGAAAGCTTGCAGTTGCCATGCTTTTTTACAGGTTACTCTTTTAGGTGAAATTATGATACGTGTATATAGTGCTTTTGGACATATTATGCAATATAGTATATATATGACATTATGGAAGCCTTGCCCACAGAGTATCACACCCATGGAGTTCAAATACTGTGGCATGGAGTGTCATATTCTGCAAAGAGTATAGCACATCAGGTTGCATGGAGTTCGTTGGTTGCTGAGGTGTGTGGGACGCAGTCGAACGCATTCCCGCTGGAGGCATGGGCAGGGCGGTTTCTCGCCGTAAACGGAGAGCTCGCATACAACTGCAGCCTATATACAGGAAAGAATAGGAAACAAAGGCTGAGAAAAACAATCGCATATCGGTGTATATATCGTGCGAGTTCATTCAGGCTTGAATTGTTCTTTGACATGTGGGAGTGACCTGCCAAACGTAACGCAGTCTGAAAAACATTCTTGTTCAGTCACAGTTGGCAGGACAGGCGTCCGCCCTTATGCAGGGCTAAGAAGCTCGCATGTGACCGCGGTTGTTGTGTTTCGCATGCGTGGCTCGAAGAGTGGACACGATTACCGCCTTTGGTGTGTCCAGGGGATTGGGTGCCATGAATGCAGCTGTGAAAGGGCAGCTTGATGCTCTTCTCAAGCAAGCTGCTGAAGGCTCTTTGAGCAAGACCATGCAGAGCGTTTACTCGTTGCTGAAAGACAGCGGGTACATGTATCGTGCCAGGGTGTGTTCCCGCTTTGTTGGGGTGCATGAGGCCAACAGAGATGGAATGGGCGTCAGCCCGGACCACGTCCACACCCTGGCTGAGTCCTTCCATGAGATGGGGTTTGTGGCCTCTGAGACACGCATGATGTGCTTGGAGATTCCAGCTGGAGATCCAGATGCTGATAGAACGCGGCAGTTCAATGTCGACTTGGTGACCAAAAGCAACAACAAGTACCTTGCTTCTGTTTCATTTCTTGAAAGCTTTGACCATTTGTGCAAAAGTCTGCAAAAGGCTATAAAGAAAAGGCTGCCAAAACAAAACACGACTATATAGAAAAAAGGCTGCCAACAAAAGAGCATGGTTGTTTCCATAAGTGTTCCATTTAAGGTTGGCGCCGGTGAAGGACGAGCTGCGATTCGCTTCGATAAGCGGCTCGCACAGCAATCAAGTGTTGAGGTTGTGGTACTATGGTTGCGACCACCAAAGCATGGGCAAGCTCAGCTTGGAACAGCTTGAATCCAGGGACAAAGGGTATTTCAACGCTGTGATTCAGGGCTGTGAGTGGGATGTGGTCAGCAGCCTGGTGCAGAAGACGTGCCCACGCTTTGCTGAGCTTGCGCAGGCAGCCGCAAATGCTGTTGGTCAACAGCAGCGGCCAGAGACGGAACTTCAGCTTTGCAGAAAGGTGTTGCAGCTCTGGACTGAGGAAGGTGGCAAGGCTGGTGGCAGCGGTCCGGTGGAGTATGCGAAGATTGCGCCACACATCCTCAAGACCAAGCCGCCGAATGGGGCGGTGCTCCCAGCGCTGTACAGCTTCATTTTGAAGGCAGGCGGTGGTTCAACGGGGCATCTCATGAAGCAGACTGAGGAGTATGTGCGTTGCTATGGCAACGCCGGACGCGCACTTGGCGTGCCACTTTGGGAAGCTTTGGGGTCCGACAACAAACTTCAGCCTCAGAAGAACGTGTTGTGGCGACACGCATTGCTGAAGGCATTGTACTGCCATGAAGAGAGGTTGGTGTCTGCAAGTGATGTGAAGCGCAGTCTTTGCCAAAAAGAGCTTCAGCCTCGCGTGGCCCGCTTCGAGGCAATGATCGCGAAGATGCGGACCATTGGAGCATCGCTTGGCTCGAGTCATGGCTTGACTACGCACGATGTTGACATGACAGTGGGCGCGTTTGAAGTCGAGTCCGTGGTCATCTTGCTGCAGAAGAAGCCAAAGGTGACGCACGATGTGTATGAGGTCTTTGAGCACCTGGAGGAGGCCGCTCACAAAGTGATCAAGAGGTTGAGGGAGCAATCAGGGAATGAAGCGGTGACTTCTCCATGGGAAGCCTTTGTGCTGGCGTTGCCGGCAAAGACCGAGAGTGCTGCAGCCACGCAGGCTTCCAAGTCACAGACCAGGACCTTATAGTGGTGGATAGAAGATTGAAAAACATTATGACTAAACAAACAAACACAGGTGTCTGCATGAAGTGCATGGATACACAAATAACACTTTTGTAACTGCTGAAGGTTTTGAGAAGCGCTGTCAATATGTCATGTTATATATGTCCATGAATACACATGTCTTTCCTAAGTTGTGGGTGAGTGGGCAGAGCATAGTCTCGCCAAATGCAGGGCATTCGCTCGCATGCACATGTAGTGTTTGCAAGCTGTTTTGTCAGGATGCGTGAGTTTACTCCTTCTGGGCAGTTGGTTTCCACGGGCATCATTCAAGACCACGGGTTTCACGTGGGCGACAACATTTTCAGAAAGGCAGATAAGGTGTCGGGTGAGATTGTGCAAATGTTTTCGAACAACATCATTCTCAAGGGCACTGACGGGTGTGAGTACACGTTGCCTGTCACAGAGCTTGTGTCGGGTGAATGGAAGCATGAAGCAAAGCAGCAGGCCCCTCAAGAGGTGAAGGAACCTGATGCTTGGCGAGCGGCCATTGAGGAAGGTGCCATGAAGGCACAGGTTGTCCAAGAGATCTACGCTGCGGTGGAGAAGCTGCCTGATGTCACAAAGGATCTGGGAGTGATGCAGAAGCCGAAGGGAGTCATTGCAAAGACAGAGTTCGCGAAGCACAAGTGTGTATTGGTTCCAGTGACCACCAAGGTCGAACTTGCGACTGACCCAGACAAAGCACCTGCAGCGTCTCCACAGTGCATCTTCCTTGACTCCCGCAAAACCAGTGAAGGGCACCTCGAATCAAACCTGATGTGTTGTCCTTTCATACATATAGTGCTGGATGCACATTGGTAGACGGTTTAGGCCAGTGGAGGAAGGTGGTGTAAGAACCAGGTATTTGTAGTAGCAGCAATGGAAAGGGTGTAATTACATTAGAAGTACATTAGAAGGTCGGTTGACCATTACCATTACATGACCATTACCATTACATGTTGCAGACTTGTGACCATTACCATTGCATGTTGCGTATGCAACTATACAGACCACACATTCACAATGTTTCTGCGCTGCGCGAGTTTGCGAGTCAGGAAGAAGGTTGATCTTTGGCTACAAGCTCCTGGGAGTTACCCAGTGGCATTTTGGCAGATGAAAACCTCCAGGAAGGAGGATGAATGCAACATGGAGATCTACAGGGTCAAGGGCAAAGTGGCGCATGCGCGCAACACTGTGGCCTTGAAGGCACAGGACACGTTGATCCTATGGCGTCCTGACATCACCGAAAAGGCTCCTTCACCTTTGAGTCTGGTCTCTGACAGGCCGGCCAAGAGAGTGAAGGCTCGGGCATCGTGATCATGAACGTCACTCCTCGCAATCAGGGGGAGATGGCCATGGTTGGCATTGGAACATGTGGCTTGTGGGCTGGAGGAGCGCGCAGCGAGTTGGTACATCGGCGACCCGCACAGTACAGCGCAGTGCAGGGCAGTGTAAAGCTCACCTGACTTCGCTCCTGGCGGAGTCCAAAATGTGCTGACCTTTCATTTTGCAAGTGTTGGTGGCATTCACGCATGGGCTCAACCTTTATTTTGCAAGTGTTGTTGACATTCATGCATGGGCTCAACGTTTATTTCGCAAGTATTGCTGACGTTCATGCATGAGCTTGCCATTGTTGGCACGCGTGGTATGAACATGCATACGTATCCAAATATACCTTTGTATAGTACAATGCATGGTCTATATATGCTTGTATAGTGTATGTATGGCCGTTGCAAGATCCCACCCCTGCAGCTCCGCGCAAGGTTCATCCTCGAGAGAGGTTCATCCTCGAGCACGGTGGCCCATAGAGCGGGAAGGAAGGGCAGGGCTGCTTGGCTCGCCTGGCCGCAGGGAACTTTCGTGTTCTCGCGATCCGGCTGGTTGAGAGCATGGATGTTGAGTGGTGGCCGTTGATTGTGACAGTCATTCATGCTTGACGAGGTTTCTGTCAAGGACAACCTGTATAGTCCCATGTCCCATGTAATACAGGCTGGAGGAGAGCATGCGTGAAGAGCGGTGGCCGTTGATTGGGACAGTCATTCATGCTTGACGAGGTTTCTGT